AAAAAAAAAAAAAAAAAAAAAAAAAAAAAAAAGAAGAAGAAGAAGAGAGAAGACCCAAATTACAAAAGTCAGAAATGAAAAAGGAGACATTATAAGTGATACCATAGAAATAAAAAAAAAAGGAAAAAAAGAGACTATTACAACCAACAATAGGCCAACAAATTTGAAAACCTGAAGGAAATGGATAAATTTCAGTTCACATGCAAACTACCAAGACCGAACCAAAAAGAAATAGAAAACTCGAACAGACCAATAACAAGCAAAGAGATTGAAGCAGTAATCATCAGTTTCCCAACAAAGAAAAGTCCAGGACTGAATGGCTTTGCTGCTGAATTCTACCAAACCTTTAAAGAGAAATTAACACCAATTCTCCTCAAACTATTCCAAAAAATTAAAACAGAGGCAACTCTCCCAAACTCATTTTATGAGGCCAGAGTCACCTTGATACTAATCTTTTTCATGTGAAAGTAACAGAAAGTTTCTTATTGGAGAAATTATCCCAGCAGATTTTCTCACGTTGACTCAGGACTGTGAAAAAAATCACTGTTGCATATTTCCTAGATCTTAAAAAAAAAACACTTGGGATATTTTTTCTACTTAAATAGTACTTTCTGATTAGCAGGCCTTATGGAAAATTTATTTCTATCTTCTTTTGTTTTGTAATTTCAATAGATTCCATAGGGAAATTTTTCCTTTCTATTTTGTTTTGTAATTTCAATAGATTCCCTTGTGTCTTTATGGAGCAAAAAGATAAAACTGTAACTGTAGCTTTCTTAGAATTATAAGATATGTTAAATTATTCTAGTTTAAAATTTTTCCCCACAGATTTTAAACTTTGATAGTAGGTCTAGTTAAATATTAATTAAAACACTTTAAAAACTTAATCAGACTGGAAAGGATGATATAGTACATTAATATCCTTCAGTGTCTGAATTCTGAGATGTGCAGTGAAGATGAATTTAAGTGAAAATGGTTAATATTTTGAAATATAAATAATTTTTACATTTCATCTTTAGTTGAATCCTTCCAAAGAAAATTTGGTATATAACATCAATATTATATACCAAGTCGAACAATATCTTGAGATGAATATACCCACCCTTAACTTAGCCTTTGTAATCTACCATGTACCATAACAGAAAGACAAATACAATATACACTGTTCAAGGTAAGATAATTTTTAATTTATCTTTTTATGAAACAGAAATTAGGGCAAAGCTTTGCAATTCCAACTCAGGAAATTAATTTTTCCTTAAATTGTCTTATTTTATCTATTTCATTTGATGGACAAGTAAAAATTCATATATATGTGTGTGTGTGTGTGTATATACTATATATGTAATAGCATGTATTTTTTGATATACAAATGAGTATCTAATTTATTTTCTTTACCTCTATGAGCTTGTAGTTCCATTGGATGAATTGAGAAGGAGAAATGAGAGAACAGCTATTGTTTATATTTTCATGAAATTTAATAAAAATATTTACATCAGGCTCAAGGGTAAAGATAGTTATTGTGTTTAACAAAACTCAGAAGATTATGATTGGTAGAACCAAATGATGAAATTAAGAAACAATGTCTTACCAGTATATTTAGTCTACCATATAATATATATTACACAGGAAATACATAAACAGGATAAATTTATATATTATTACATTCCATGTAATATACTTATGTTATAATATTATATGTAAGTATCATAATAAAGCATATGCATATACATTACATATATATTTTATTATAAAAGAAGAATAGTGACTAATGGAAAAACAAAAGCAATAAAAATAGAAATATTTTATGTTGTAAGCACTATTATTCATACATTAACATGTTATTCATGTAAGATATACAAATTAAGACTGGTAGTAAGCAATCACATATGTTTGAGACAAAGATTCTTAGGATTCAGTAGTTTTAAAAAGAATATGTGCAAAGCAAAGAATTTCAAGTTACCTAGAAAAGCAGAGGAGTATAAATTAAAAATTTTAATCAAAAAGAAAAAATCACTATGTGGCATTTAATTTTTCCTATCACAGTCTATATATTAAGAAAGAGAAATAAGAGTATAAAAGAAAAGCCCTTTTAAATTTTCCCTACCAATTCTGAGAATTGGCGAACAAAAAATTTTCTTTAGTTGGAAGAAAATAATTAACAAAAACAAATTATAATTGGTAAAAATAAAATATAACTGCAATACTTGTCAATGACAAGAACTACAACTACTGGTTAAAATCACTTTACATTCAAAATAAAGAGACATAGCTTTTTACTGTATTTGCACAAGAAAGAAATAGGGACCATTAAAAATAGAATAAAGAATAAGTGAAGATAAAAATAAAGATGGACCAATTTCCTTTTTTGTTTGTTTTATTCCTATCATTCAGAATTAGACATTGTCAATGACTCACTGGGAAGTTATTTATGTATTGAATCTAAAAGCCAATGATAAAGTATAAGAATAGGCAAGCAAATGGAGTTAGAAAAACTGAAGGAAAGTGATACCCCCAAAAAAGTAAGTAAAGGAAATACGAAATGGAACCTGATGAGTGAATATCTTAAGTAACCAACTCCTTGAGGTATTAGCTAAATTCAGAAATTTGAAAATACTAAATATTTAAACAGACTATTGGGCGGAAGTGAAATATGGGTCATAGATTAACATGAACAAAATTAAGGAACAGCACTGCAAACAACTGATAAGCTTGTAAAGTGATATGTAGGATTTATTCAACTCTGAACAAGAGAAGATCTCACCATTCTTACAAATATGATAAATAAGACTGGTGAATTGGATATGTTTATTTTGATGAACTCTTACTTGATTGGGGAAAACATTTGCATGTACACAAGTTTCTAAACATGAAAATTTCTGTGACTGAGAATGAAGAAACATCTTCTTGTACTCATGAAATTAGTTCTTATTTTCTGCAGATTTAATATGAAAAAAGGAAATGAAGAACCAGTCAATGGAGACAGACTTCATTCTGCTTGGACTGACAGATGACCCTCTGCTACAAATTGTGATTTTCCTGTTTCTATTTTTCAATTACATATTGAGCCTGATGGGGAACTTAATCATCCTCCTCCTCACCCTACTGGATCCCCATCTCAAGACGCCAATGTACTTCTTCCTCCGAAATTTCTCCTTCTTGGAAATTTTATTCACAACAGTCTGCATTCCACGATTCTTGACAAGCTTTCTGACTGGAGACAAAACAATTTCCTACAATGATTGTGCAACTCAATTATTCTTTTTTATTTTATTAGGAGTAACAGAGTTTTACCTCCTGGCTGCCATGTCCTATGACCGCTACGTTGCCATCTGCAAACCGCTGCATTACCCAATCATCATGAACAGCAAAGTGTGCTACCAACTTGTGCTCAGCTCCTGGGTAGCTGGATTCCTCATTACCTTTCCCCCTTTGATCATGGGACTCAAGCTGGATTTCTGTGCTTCCAAAACTATTGATCACTTCCTATGTGACACTTCTCCTATCCTGCAGATCTCTTGCACAGATACACGTTTCATAGAATTGATGGCTTTTGTCTTAGCTGTGTTGACGCTTGTCATCACATTGTTGCTAGTGGTCCTCTCCTACACATACATCATCAAAACCCTTCTAAAATTCCCTTCTGTCCAACAACAAAAAAAGGCCTTTGCCACCTGCTCCTCACACATGGTGGTTGTCTCTATTACTTATGGGAGTTGTATCTTCATGTATCTGAAACCATCAGCAAAGGAAAGGGTGACTGTAACTAAAGGTGTAGCTGTGCTCAATACCTCTGTCGCCCCTTTACTCAATCCCTTTATTTACACCCTAAGGAACCAGCAGGTGAAAGAATCTCTTAAGAATATGCTTCAAAGATATTGTTATTTTCAAAACAGTGAGACAAAATTTGTATATAAATAACATGTTGTTGAAAGATGGATGGGAAAATGAATACAATTTTTATTTACATTAGCTCTGATATACCATTTCTCCCCTTGAGTATTTACATAATGTTTGATTTACTAAGTCTTTGCTCTCTACAAGCCTCTGTGTTTTTTATTCTGAGTAGATCTTCCAACTCTCTAGTAGTAAACTGCCTTCTTCAACACCGAATATTAAATTCCATTTCACACAGATATATTTGTTCTCATAAATGATAGTTTTATTTACTGAATGCTTTGACAAGTGGACCTTGTTAAGTAACTTAGATAATTATTTCAATATATGTGTGTTAATTGCTAAGCATTGTATCTGCTCTTAAGTATTTTGCATTGCTAAATCTGTCAGAGACAACAAGAGAACTTGGTAATTATTTCATAATGTAGTTGATGTGATAGAAAAGAGGTAGAAAATATCTGATTAATTTTAAAGATCAAAGTAGCCTTCCAAGAGGAATCATCACTTATGATGAACCTTGAAATATGAATTAAAAAATTATAGGTCAAGGGTGCTGTAATCAGAGGTCTAAAGTATACAAAAGGATTGAGATTCTACTGCATAGTTTTACCTAGAGAGTTATAATGATTAAGAATCATTATGTTTGTAAATATTATCAGTTTTTGACTTGGGTAAATGTAATTGAACTCTAGGCTTAGGTTCTAATTGGCTATATTGCTTTATAGTCTCTGGTGTTTATAAGTGATAGTAACCCAAGAAGGGTATAGTTTATTTATATCTGGATTTGAGGAACTTTCCATATATTTAAAATAATTCATAAATTAAAAGTTTCGTAATCAATCTTGCTGTCTCAACTTTCACAAAATTAATTGAGTATATCTTATGGACAATAACATACAATCATTTTAAACCAATGCATTTGGATACATATTCACTTCCATGTAACAATAAAGATAGAGAACATTTATATCATAGCAAATAGTTCTCTTTGCCTCTTCCCAGTCATTCTCCTGCCCCAACCCCATCTGCCACTGAATGCAGGCACCAAAGTAATTTCAGTCACTATAGATTAGTTTTGCCTATTCTGGAACTTCCCGTAAAAGAAAACAAAGTGTGAAATTTGTCGGACTTTTCTTCTCAGCATAATACTTTTGAAGTTCACCCATGGTGTTGCATGTATCTATACTTCATTTCTTTTTGTGATGTCTTTTAGAAGAATATGTGTCCTTTGTCACATTTACATTCATTACAATGCCTTGGTATTTTTACTTTCTGAGGAATTTCTCCACAAGACTGAACCATTTACTTTGATCAAGGTAAAAAGTGAACACATTTCATATTGTGAAATGTCAACCCCTGAAAGCCTCTATCCCCTCATAATGTCTTTTAGAAATAAGGTGTTTACCAAAGGGGAGTTAACCAGGAGGGGTCGTTCCCCTATATTTTGGTGACTCTATTCCTCAATTCCTATTGTCCAAGGCAGTGGAGCTTCAGAAATTGCCCCAAGAGGAAATAAGAACAATACATGTGAAGGAACATCATTCCCCATTTTGTTGTTCATTTTAGGGGCCATCCCAGCCCCAAATTAACTCCTTCTAACTTCACTTTTATGTAGCAGGCTCCAAGACTCAACCTGCTTTTGAAGAACTGGGGGAGCAGAAGTTTGAAGACTGGACAGAATCTTGAGGAAACTGATACTAAAGATTTCAGGTTGAAGCCTGCAGAGATTGGTTGGAAAAGCTTAGCAGACAATGGCAGTGACTTTCATTAATTTCTGAGAAAGTGCTTCCCAGTAATTCTAGCAGTAGAGCAGGTAGTTTCTAAACACTTAGTGAGAAGCTACTATGGATCTCACCTTTGCTCACCAATCTGACTACAAACACCTCTGGAGAATAATAGTCTCTGCTTCTTTTAACTCCGACATTTTGCACAAAGTCCTCTCACAACAAACTGTATGTTAGAGCAATATTGAATAGGGAACTCTGAAAAATGGCCTCCCAGTTTCTCCTCTATACTTACAGAAAAACTAAGAAAGTCATATGTGATGCAGAGTTGGCAACGTACAATTCAATTCAGATTCTTTGAAAATAACCGAAACCATGGTCCCAGAAATTGCAAGCCATTGTTTCTATCACTGGTTCTTCCCAAAGTGCTGGGAATAGATTAGGAGAGATGAGATGAATTTTGAACTTTCTTGTACAATTTCTTCCATTACAGAGGACTATTTGAAGTTGCTGGCCATTAAGAATGCTTAAATCCGTGAAATCCATTCATGTTACTTCAGATTCTTTCATTACCCTGGTTGGAAAGCATGGTTCCACAGGGTACAGTCGATGTCTTTTTAAAAAGGAAAGAGTTAGTAAAAAAAACCAAAAAGCAATAAATATAGGAAAATGTGTTATATAACTGTTAAAGTTAATTAATTTTTCCATGAGGCTAAAACAGGTGTTTAATGTTAAGATGTAGATTTATGTGTCTGGGAGAACAAGACCTCTACTACAAGGTGCACTAGGAAAAATTCTTTTTACACAGCAATTTCCAGATCCTTGAAAGAGAGCTATGTTCATTCATTCATTCATTCATTATTCATTCATTAGGTCAACAAATAGAACCTAAGAACTTGCAGTACTAAGTGAAGTGAACATAACAGACAAGCTCCTTGAAATTAAATGTTTATTCTTTGACTGATTACAAAGAGTGAGATCCATGCAATAAAAGTGTGATAATACAAGAGGTATATTTGAATCTTAAAACATATAATACAGGATCTTAAAGAGTTTAGGGCAGGGAGAATTTCCTCTATAAACTTTCTTCTGCTTACTCCTCACTTCTTACAGAATTAATGCTGCCAAAATCAGTTAAGCATAAGGAATTTAAATTTCAAATACTAAAAAATTAAAGATACTTTCTAGTCCAGTAAGGCATTGTTAGGACCAACCGGCCTTGACATTCCAGGCAAATGTTTTGTTTTTGCCCTGTGGCTTCCTAAATTCTGAGCAGACTTCCTTAACACTTTCTGTAGTTATATGTAAACTAATTTTAGTAGTGTGATCCTTATACATGAATAAAATGGTTCAATTCAGGGTTACTCTTTTAATGATCTAAGCAACATTCTTGTTTTCTGGGGGGCTGGAATACCTAAAGATGAAACTGTCAGAAGAAATGGAAAATAGAACTGTAAGAGTAGATCATTAGAAAAAATATTTTTTAAGTCAGAAGATTTTGAGAATCATTCAGTGATAATAATAGAAATCTTTAAAAATAGCTTGCAAAATTGCTTGCAAAACTGCATGTTAAATGAGAATTTTATTTTTCCCATGAATTGCTACAAAGGTGAAAAATAAAAGGTGTAATACTCACATATCAGATTCTAAAGATAATCACCAACACTTGAGGCCAGATGCATTTATATACGGCTTGCAAACAGGTGGAAGTATTGACCTTATAAGCACAAACAAAGGCAGAGGGACAGAGAAAAGAT